CTGGCAGAACCAGGAGAGCTCGCAACAGTCGTCCTCCGGGCCTTGGAGTCTGGCTGTTGGGAAGAAGAAGCTCTTGGAGCGCCCGTCTAAAAAAGAAGAAAAGAGTCAGTATATGCATAAACACAACTCCAAAAAGAGAGTGAAAGGTTCGAAGTCCACCAAGGGTGCCCCCTTGTTGGGGGAGTCGGTTGAAGACTGTTGCATGATGGAGGCCCGCAACATGGCCGCCGCAGTCTTGGAGGCGGTAATTTTGCTCATGGCGTCCGCTGCAAAAACAAATAGCAAAGTTAATAAAAGTCATAACAGAAATGCATGGAACAACAGAGTATTCGACAGGCCGGCTACCTCTTGAGCACCGACTGCTGAGGCCACAGGCGGCCAAAAAGTACTCGTCGTAGAGCCATTTGAAGCTCGAGACGCAGTGCAGGGGTACTTGCTCTCGTACCCCTGAAGTAGAGTTCACCTTTGACTCTACTTTGAAGAGTCCTTTATCTAGGATCTCTTTCTTAGCCTTGGGGGGAACAGGCGGCATGCTGCGGCCGCCTGCAAGAAGGGGGGATTCCTGTTCCACCTGTTGAAGCGCTTGTTCAGCTCTGTGTCTGAACTCTCAATGATAAGGAAGGTGCTCCGCCAGTCCTTCCATTTGTTTGCTTTACCTCTTGTCATGAGGTAGCCCCTGTGGCTCGTCAATTGATACCAGCCGGTACCGCCTTCCTTAGGGGTCCGGCTGAGGTAGTTCATGTGGGCGAAAGCCTCGAAGTTCAGCTCCACCCCGTGCAGTTCGCACCCGGCCACATAGCCGAGTACGTTGACCCAGGAGTTCGGGGCTAACTGCCATAACCCCAACTCATACCCATCCAAGATCCGCTGAACAACCGGATGTAGAGGGAAGCGCAGCCTAGCCTTAATGGCCGCCTCGTACCAGCCAAAGCAGGCGCCATCATAACTAGTACCAACCGGCCAGACGACTGTGTCTTCTGGATCCGGCACGAACACTAAAAAGCCGGGGCCCATTGTGTGGTTTGCGATAAAGCTCCCCACTTTTTCTTGCATGGCCGTGATCCGGCCCCGAGGTACCGTGCAGTAGTAGGGGGTATTTTGCTCTCGGTGAGAGGCGGATGGCTCCGCCCAATTGTCCCCCTTCTCAACTGCGTGAGAAAGCCTCGCCTCTTGTAGGCGACTGTTTTTCTCTTCTGTGTCCAGAGAAGCATGGCTAGAAGAGCTAGACTCGGATTCGTCCTCTGACGAGTCCGAAGAGGACGACTCCTCCCCTCTCCCAGAGGGGCCCGCCTCCTCTCCTTTAAAAGGAGCAGGAGAAAATGTAGAATTGTCAACTGTAAAATGGGAAGGGGTCACTTTGACTCCTCCCTCAGAACTGCCGGCTTTCAAGCCGCTTTGTTTCACTTCCACATCTGGCGCCTGGTCAGATGTTTCTTTAATCGGCACCCGGTGGGAGGAGCCGTCTGAGTTCGAGATCCTAACCGTCTTTTTTGTTCTGGCCATCATGTTCTGCATAGACACAGATACAGTCGGACTTTGTATAAAGGGCAAAGATGGGTCCAGAAAAGGGCAGGCGGCACTCCTAGTCCTAGATTCAGCCGTCCCCGGTGACCGGCTGATCGCTAACCTAGGTCGTGTCGTGTGCTTCCGTGGTGCCATTTCAAAAAAGAATAAAGTAAAGAGAAAATTAAGAGTAAGAGAACCGACGGTTACCTGAACGAGTGACGATTGATGAAGTTCTGAAAATCCTTTGCAGTCGGCTTGTCAGAGCAGGCGGTAGGCAGAAAGGGTCCAAAATGTCAGAGCAAGTTCAGGGGTCCGAATGTTCTCTCACAAAGTTCTCAAGTGTGAAAATGACCGAAGGCAACACTCCCTTATATAGGCGAAGTGAGAAGGCGAAGGGTCACTTCCGGAATTCAAAATTTGGGCGGGAGAATCTCTCGGCCTTTCGCCGAGTGACACCTGTAGCAGGCCGTCGCCTGTTACAGGGCGACACCTGTCACAGGTAACACGTGACCAGTCACGTGCCACCTATGAGGGGAAAATGATTAGGGGATTTTGCTCCCACCAATCGGAATGCGCCACGTGGGCCAATCAGGTCCTGCCAAGTGTCCCCCAGTTGGACCTCTCAGGGCTTGCCACGTGGCACACGCTTATTCATCCACCCTGGACCTATTATGTCATGACACGTGGCATACTCCATGCCTAATGGAGAAGTCGGCCACCTAGGCCCAACTTCCGAGGAAAGCCCAATCAGCCCAAGGTTAACCTAAACCTAGGATTGGCACGTTTCCCGAGGTTATAAATACCTCCCTTAATCCTCATTAAGGGGGATGACGCAGATTACACACATTAAACACTCTCACCTAGAGAGACCCAATCACTTTAATTTCCGCATTAATTACTCCTTAATCAAGTACTAACTTGACCGTCGGAGGCGGATCTCCAATCATCCGGAGCATCCGTTTGTTTTGCAGGTACAGGCGTCCGGTTCCAGTCTCGGAATTGTAACTCTCCCGCAGGACATCAGAAAACCCCGAAACACACCCGATTATTTAAAAGTTTTTGATTGCTAAAATAGAATTTAGATCAAGAGGAGAGTACAAGTATAATACACTTTTAATTTACCGTAGTGAGTATAACCCTTAAAAAAATTACTCCCTCTCATTTATATAAATAAATAAAATGCCTATATTTGAAGGTCAAATTTTGATCAAAATTCTCTCAAAAATTATTCACAAAGAAATAAGAAAAGATAACGAATTTATAGCAAGAACAGTATAAAATTTACACTTGATAGATGTTAATCACAACCAACGTAAAGTTCGATCTAAGAATATATGGGTGCTTTAAGTTTGATGTCCACCTAAGATAATTATAATGGACTTACTTTTAATTAGCTTGTATGTTTTTATAAAGTTTAATTTTAATCAAAGTTAAGATATGAACATATACTACGTATGTTATTTAAAAATAAAAAATATTGTGTGTATTTAGATTTCGTAATGTATTTATGTATGTGTACAAGGGCTTCTTAAGTTACTTAATTAGACTAATTAAATCAACTATTTCTACAAATTTGTAATAATCTTCTCACAATATTATCCGTGTTCCAACTTATCATGCATGAATCACACATAGGGTAATACTTATTTGATTAAACATAAATTGTATTGGGTGATGAAATATTGGGTGCATACTAGCTCTTTTAATAGTAATAAAAGATGAACGCATGTCAATCAATGTAATTTATGAATGATATTGTAGATTAACATTCTTATTTTTAGCTTTTTATATGCATGCAATCATAAGAATCGTATGTATATTTTAATATTTCCAATAGTAGTTTTGAGGTATATATCATTTGTATTAGGCTGTTGGATATTTGAAGACTAAATATTGAATTGAATTGAATTGGACCAATTCAAAAATTAATTCATTCAATTTTCTTTTTTTAGTAAGAAAAACAAAGTATTTCATTTTCGAAATTCTTTTTAGTATATAATAATTTTTTAAAATAGATTTTGTATGCAAGCATAATATGATTTACTTTCAAACTTTAATACCCTTCATTTTAAGTTTTTAACCCATGTGATAAATGTATTTAGTCCAATATGTATGGGATGGCCTGGTATTTTGGTTAATTGACTAAACATTAAATTCCTTTCTTAATCTTTGTGCATGATCCTTAAATAACACTCAATTTAATTTACTCTTTCTAAATCTAAGGGAGTATGTTCATATTACAAATATCTATTCTCTTTTACACATACTAGTACTATTTTTAGTTCAGTTCATCAACAAGGGCAAAAACACATGCATATTCAATTTTACCTTCGTTGGTTATTGATATCATTTTTACCATCATACAATTTTAGGTTAAATTCTTGCAAAAAAAGTATAACTCGTATTAATACTAACATAAACAACAGGTAAATTAAAGTAAAAGGCAAAAATATTGGAAGCAAATTTACAAATCTAAAAAAGTTTATATAATTTCTCATGATGATGAAGTTCAAGAAATTTTATTAGAAACAAAATTGACAAAGATATCCAACAAAAATAAAAAAAATATTTCTAATTTAGAGCCTATGCTATTTTTTAAAAGGTGCTTAATATATAATTGCACGTATGTACCACATAAAATCTTAAATTTTAAAAATCATTTGAAGCAATTATAGATCTTAACTAAATATATTCAATTTTGATTTCTTGTCCTATCATATCATCTAACTGATTAATTTTGCGATTTTATAATTATTGGATTGTGTTAATAGACTCATTGATTTATCATTGCTCGATAGATCGAAGTCATACATATGTACATGTATCGTGTATGAATGTATGATTGATGTAAGAAATAGAATGAATGAATATGTGAGGCAACATTTGTGACAAAATATCAGATTAGCAGCCTTTATAATGACTGTTAACCTCGGCCTGATGCTGGTATCCATAAGTAAAAACGTTGCTACATTGTCATAGATTTATTCTCCTACGCCATTATTAGGTTTTTTTTTTTTTTTTTGCAGTTAGTGCCTTTTTTTTTTAGTAAATAACACACCGCCTATAACTATAACACGTTTACGTTTCTACATATAGTTGCAGGCGGTGAAATTTACTTATGCATAAAGGTCACTTTTATCTCATTAAATATAGCTAGTTAGAATTAAATTGTATGAGTTTGCTACTTGGCTTTGGAATAATATGTAAAATTCGACCCTAGCTAGCTAACATGAGCCTAATTCCAACCGGAAACAGTTTGAGCTCGACTCAAATAATTGTACAAAAAACTAGGTGATCAAAATTTTATGCTGATTTCTTACAATCAAATATAATTTGTTGTATTAATACACATTCATCAAAAGGTTTTCATTCACCATATATATATATTTTTTTAATTTGAAAATACACAAGAAGTTAGAACAGTCTTCTTTCAGGCCTATGTATCGTATAGTAAACTAACGTGTATATTCAAATATGTTGATTATTATTGACAGAGAGGTGTAGGATAGGATCAACTCCGCAAAATGAATGGTACTTCTTCAGCCATAAGGATAGAAAATACCCAACAGGATCAAGGACTAACCGAGCAACGAACGCCGGGTTTTGGAAGGCCACAGGGAGAGACAAATGCATCAGAAACAGCTTCAAGAAGATTGGTATGCGTAAAACTCTGGTTTTCTATCGAGGACGAGCTCCTCATGGTCAAAAAACTGATTGGATCATGCATGAATATCGCTTAGAAGATACTGATGATCCTCAAGCTAATGGTGTAAGTATTACTTGTACTCCCACTTTTTTTTTTTTTTTTTTTTTTTTTTTTTTTTTTTTATAATTATTATTCTTAATTATACCCTTTTAATTAACATTTATGTGCTTCTAATTTGGATGAATATTTGATCTTATGACAAAATAATCTATGATGTGCTTGCATGATAATAATATATACTCCGTAATAAGCTAGCTAGGGTTACAAAAGATTAGTCTACTAACTATATATGAATTGTTAATTCAGGTCATATTCAATAAAAGTAGTTTAATAGTTTTATTAGTATATTAGTATTGTTATTTCCAAAAGCTACTTTTTACATTACGATCGCAAAAATTCTACCTCAACCTACATTTGTAAGTAGCTTGACCAAATATGGTTTTCACTTTTTCTTCCTAGCTAGCTTCATTCACTTGTACATTATGATGTTATTGTAGAACTCAATTATTCTTCTTTGTATGAAGAAAAAAAAAAAGTATTTGTAAAACAAAAGATAATACTTAAATACACGTATATATATTATACGCTAATTCCCTGTTACTAATACTCCTATATTATATGATTAAAATTATTATTTTTTAATACATGTTCAGGAAGATGGATGGGTTATATGTAGAGTGTTCAAGAAGAAAAACTTGTTCAAGATTGGAGAGGAACAAGGAGGAGGGACGACAACAAGCGCTACCTCCGATCAGCTACTATGCAACCCCACGGGATCAAGTAGCGCGAACCAATCGCGGCACTTCATCCCTAGGGATCACACCAATAATAATCCTCAATACCCTCATCATCTCCTCCTACGCAATGATCCTCAAGCAACCTCCACCTTTGACCTATACATGAATAAACCCAACTTAGGGCTTCATAGCTACTCCCACCCACACCAAATTGCACCCCTACCTCCTCCTGACTACGCGACACATCCCCACCATCTCTACCAAGCAAGCTCAGCATGTGAGGGTGGTGGTCCTACTGCCCTTGAGGTTGGACCATGTGAACCTTCGGACCCTCATCATCCTGGGATCAATGAATGGGCTATGCTTGATCGCGTCGTAGGCCACCAACAGGATGATCATGGTGAGCAGCAGGCTAATGCTAATGACTTAACCTCTACTGTGCTTGAAATGAATCAACAACATCAGCAGCAGCAACAACAACAACTTTCATTACGTGGTGAAATGGATTTCTGGGGCTATACCAAGTGATTTTTGCATTAATTTATTTGATTTTTTTTTTTTTTTTTTTTGGGATTTTATTCAATTAGATTTGACATGTAATGTAAAAAAAATTTAATTTCCATGCATGAATGCATGCACAAATTAAGTTTAATTTGTTTGCATATAATACTACATACTACGTATACTATTACTATTACTATCATTGTTTGTTGCATGTACACTACAATTGGTTCATGTTGCATTATTATTGATTTGGATAATGTGTGTGCATAAGCTTGAATTCAAATTGTGATTGTTGAGAATTACCCCTTATTCATTTACTTAACTGCCTGCTCTTTCCTTTCATTTTTCTTCTTTTAATCCCTTTAATTTGTTTGCTTCATCAATTGTTCTTGCATGTATATGTTGTCTCCCACGTTATGTTTGTCGCAAATGATAATCGCAATCCAATGGAGAGTGATTACTACAAAAATTTGTCTAATAGTATGTAAACATCTCAAATCAATAACATTCTAGGAATTTTAACTTTCACGCAATCCTAATTTAGTTATGTATCTTTCGTAGCAATAGTTAGAAACCTCAATCAATCAAATCAAAGCCTTAATCCCACAAGTGGGGTCGGCTACATGAACCAAAAATGATTATTCTATATAGTCATCTACAAAAACCTTCCGACAGTTAGAAACCTCATCTCTAAAAAGAGCTTGCTCTTGATTTGGGATCGGGTTTGGTTTATTCTCTAGATGTCAAGTTCTATTGCTACAATTCAAGCTCATTATGCAACAATGTTTTCTAAAGCAGAGCAGTCACCCTGCCTCAAGGACAAGACATCATACACATGGTGCCCGACATCCTCAGCTGCTAGCTGATGCGGCTTCTCTGCCCATATTATACGGTGCAGATAGTTTCAATTGCACAAAAGACAGTAAAGCTTCTTGTTTTACTTACCTTGCCCATCCTAGTGGCCACAATTCCCTCAAGTAACCAACAATAAGACTCTGAAGACTTGATCAAGCTCCGATTATCAGCCTATACAGTCTAATAAATGCATGCAAGAACTTTTGGTGTTGTTCACTTAGCTTATGCAGGACATGCACACATACCTGAATTAATACCTCAACGCGATTCAGAATAAAATAAGAACATCAACGACGAACATTTGCTTCCTTCTGTGAAGCAAAAGTCAAGAAAAGCCGTCTCTTCATGAGGACCTTAGACATTGGCCTCATACAGATACCTTATTTCCCCTGTTTCAGCAAGGGCCACTAGATGTCATTGTGTGTGTTTCGCAGCCATTACTTACTTCAGCATCCAACAAAAACTCATGTAATACTCATGTCCCAAATGTTCAGATATTTATAAACTCTGCCTTGATTAATTAATTGTATAATGTTGGTCCCAAGTCTACTACATACTACTAGATAGAGAAAGACGGTTGCAGTAGGTAGGTGACAAGAAGTTAAGCCTGTCACATATTCATGCCTAAACCAAAAGAAGGATTAAATAAAAATCACAGTATCACACCACACTGCAACAAAAACCTTTCTAGAAGACTGGAAGCGAGAAGATAATTTAGAAGAGTTGCATATACATGCCTTACCTTTGACTGTAGTACATCGATCAGATCATCAGATTAGACTAAGTTCGATGACATAATACAGTACATAAAACTCTTTCAGAATACAATCATAAGATCGAGGATTTCACATTGCACCAAAAAAAGTTAGTACTACTGCTCATCATCTTATATTATTAACTATTACTCGTTTGAGGATGAGTAAAAGTGGAATATCCAACCCACATATATAGAAACTACTTACAGTGGCAGCAGCAGAAAGGTCTTAGAGTTCACCGCAATCATATTTTTGGGGTTTTTGCAGGTCTCGGAAAAAAACAAACAGGATTACGATGCACAGGAATCTCAACAGCAAAGAGGGTTTCTCAACTAACAATAAACCTGTGAGGTAAGTTTGGGTGGATAAGAGTACTACTCGCTGCCTCCTTTCCTTCAAATAGTCATCCAGAGCTTCGATAGCCTTCTGTGCTGACAAATGCATAATACTCTCGTTCAAATCAGCATTGCATATCTTTTTTGATAAACATCTAGCAAGAATAACTGCATCTTCCATAGCTGCAGACCCACCCTGCCCTAAGAAAGGGCCCATAACATGCCAAGCATCCCCAGCTACTGTTACAGTTTCTTTGCGTAAGTTTCCTGAAAGTAAATTCCATGGGGCTCGATATCTCAATCGTGTGCATGACAAAGTGCTTAAGTCAGCGTTCTCTATCATCTCCACGATATCCTTAGGTAAACCCGCTGTTTTGCTTAATGTCAATTGTTTGATGGAAGCAGGATCCTTTGGCATATCAGCATCTGCACAAAAACAGATTAGTTGTTTAATCCCAATCTGATTAATAAGAACATAATGTATTATTCCTGAGAAAGATGTGGTTATAGGGGTAAGAGACATTAAAATGAGTGAGTTGAGGTTGTAGACTACATAAACTTGAACGAAGGACAATGTTGTAGACTGATCTGATCCATGATTTTAAGTAACACCCGCCCATAACTTTACCAACTAAACTACCTGGTATTACACTTCACTTAGAACTGTTCCATCCATGTTGAAGTGTAAAACATACCAAAAGGTTACAATACTTCATAAAGAAAAAGGCCGTGTAAAATCTAGGATTACCCTCATACAATTCTAATCAATGTTGCTTACACACCAATAGTCAATATTCACTGATGTTTCTAAAAGTGGTATATAGCCAGAGTTGGTTTCTCAAGAGAACCAAAGCATAAGCTAGACCACTAGATAGACCAAAATTCTTTATTCCACTCTATGAACATAATTCCCTCCATATTAAAATTTGATAGCTCCAGAACCAGTTTAACTCCAAGCTACTTGTAAATAAAGAGTTTCCTTAAACAAATATTACATCCCTCTTTGTGAACCGAAAAATTCCAAACAGGAACCATGGTGAATTACGGCATGTTAGGTCAGGTAAACAGTACTTCATGATAACCCAACCATTGACATCTCTTGTATGATAGGTTTATAATTATGACATTATATCAGGAAGGTCCTACATCAGTTATATTATACATTCAAACTGTCATGGTTGATAGGAAGGAATAGATTTAATGATGAAAGAGGTGAAATATACCTTTTTGTACCCATCGCAGAGAAACATACCAGTATAATGTCTTATCATCAACTGGAACTCTTCCAACTAAATGCTTATTTGCTCTTACCCTCAAGAACTCAGGAGCATATCCATGACCATTTGGATATCGAGTCAGGCCTCTGACTGAACATGTGGAGTAAAGCCGAGTAGGCTTTAAGCCAATGTAATTAGCAATGACTGAGTTTGCTCCATCACAGCCAATTAACACCTGCAAGTTGAATTTGTAGGTGTATGATTATTCAAGTGTAAATTCATATTTGAAATGTGATTAATGTTGATTGCACAGCACCAATTCTAGTGTGTATAGTAAATTGTTCTACAATAATGAAACCCAAATAATTCAGGCTAATTAAATCAATTTGATTAATCCAGAAGATTTTAAAGTGAAAAAAGAAAAATGAACAGCTTGGTTCCAGGGGAATGGATAAAATATTGGGATGTCTATCACACATTGGAGAAGTTAATAACAGCAGCTGTAATACCTTAGCCCTGATTAAGCTCCCGTCAAGGAGTTGAAGAACTGCATACGAACTTGATCTTTCAACATTTATAGATACAACTTGGCAGCCAAAACGTATAGTCTCTTGTGGTAGCGCATTTGCTAAGGCTTCAATGAGATCACCTCTTCTTATACAACGAGCCTCCCCTTCACTGTAAAATGCCCAAATTCAGACTGTCATTGTTTTCCAATGTACTTTAAGAAACTATAAACTTTTCCACAATATAATCCCATTCACAATTCAACCCAGCATTTTTCACTAGAACCTCTATATTCCTTAAAGCTCCATAACTAAAATTATCGAGTGTGCATCATGTGACACACTAACATAACATGAGTAAACAAATCTGCATCTTAAGAACATTTAAAGAGGATCTTAGTGTAGTTATGATAAAGAGATTCTTGGAGTGCTGCTGCCAGTTAGACAAAATCAAAATAACTGTAATGATTACCACAAAAGAAACCTTCGTTCCACACCGGTCTCAGCCTGAAGATCAACTGCACTGTAGGATACTGAAGGATGTTAGCTAGACAGAAACAAAAACACTGAAAGTAAAGAAATTCGAGTAATTCAGATGTCATGCAGCTAATTTGAATTTCGGGTTGTACTTATGAAGTGCAACAGCAGTTGATCGAAGACTGGAGTCAAGACCAAGCTGGTGGAGGGCACGCCAGCCATTAGGCAAAACACCAATAGCAGCTCCTGTCGCTCGAAGTGTATCTGACCTCTCTAACACCACACTATTAATACCTTTCCTGCATAAACAGCAGACATGTCAGCAGCAACTTTGCTTCTTAATACCATTTAAATTTTCAACCATCCTTAACTCACTTCTGAAAAACATCATATTTCTTACTTCTTTAAGGTATGTTAGTTTTTTATCACCAGTGTACTACAAATAAAAGCTGTCATCCTTACTGAATACAAACCAAATTTGATCAACTTGGTAACATCCCCAACAGCATGCAATCATGGAATTGGTAATGAAATTGTGCGTAAATTAATGAAAAAAATTGTATGTCAATACCAATGGTAATATGAGGTCATCTCAATACCCTCATTTTTCTTCATAATTCTTCATTACCATCCATTACCATTTGCAAGATGGTATTGAGTGGTAATAAAAATTCATGAAGTTCACATATATGGGGATAGAGTTCTATTACCCAGACATGTCAATTCCTGACCCGACCCAATTCCAAAGACGAGTTACTAAGAGAGAACCTGAACCTGATCCAACCCAACCCTACCAAAACTACCTGAAATCGACCTGATTTGACCCATTTATCATATATTGTAATGAACCAAATGATCCAAACCACTTGAATCAAACGACCCGAAATTTGACCCAAACCCGACCCACCGACCCAAATTGATTTACACACAAATTCATTACTATTCCCATGATTTATAACCGCTAACCAAACTGGCCGTGAGAGTGATTTATGATTTCTGTGTAAAGTAGTGGTAAAACAAAAGAAAACAGAAGTAAAAGGAACCTGTGGAGAGCAAGAGCAGTAGCTAAACCAACAATTCCACCACCAACAATCACTATATCTACCTCTTCCACTGCCATCAGCCCTCCTCTTTCTTTTATTTATTTATTTTCTTTTTGGGATAAAATGGGACTAAAGCTAAGAATAAAAAGGCAAGAGTTGTTACCAAAAGTCCAGAATGGCAACCATAAGCTTAGTACAGAGAAATAAGGGGATATCAACGAGACACTTCAATAATTGTGAATCTGTGATGTTGATTGGCTAACTATTGGGTAAGTTTTTATCCTTTAATCTATGTGAGGACTACCTTTTTCTCTCTCTATCATAATTTAAACCACGTGCAAGATTTGAACCTTAAGGATGAATCCAAAATTATAAAATTACTATGGTACAATAACAGTACATGTAAAAATACTTTATAATACTTCGTACTAGGTAGAACCCGAGTCATGTTGTGTTTTTACATTATATTATATACTACCCCCTCCCCCCGTTGTTCATATTATGTGCAACAAATACCTTGTCATGGACTCCTAGGCAAAACTTATGACATGAAAAGCTTAAGACTCAGAAAAGTGGACAAAATTGAGAAACAGAAAAGTAGGAATCCTTGAACTCACGTCTTCTGACTTAGACAATTTTGCTATACAAGAAAAGTCTAAACATACTCCTCCTAATCGCATGCAAAATCAACTAGAACTGCACTGTGTGCACCAGTCTCAACACTTAGCAACTCGGGGCTGGTTTAGGTTCAACAAGCCCTAAAAGCTTAAGAGATGAACCCTGAACACAAAGGGAAGGCCAAACTTTCTGTGTAAGAGTGCAATTGGCCATAAAATTGTCAAGCAATTTCTGGTTAATCACGATATTGCAGAAGGGATAAGTCATTTGCTCGGCAAAGGGTTCATAAACTTGCAGGGTAAGTTTAGAAATGTATACTGTAGTAACCAGATAAACTACATCTAAATCTGTTTTTAACATCAGATTTTAGATCAAAAGAAAGATACTTCCACCCCATACAAAAAGTAGAAGCTCCTTAACCTTCAGTACTCAAAAACGGATGCAATTTTTGGATTTAATTAAGGTAAGATAGGCTAATAATTTTCAAGCTTTAGTATTAGTACTGGCTCAAAACCATGCTCCTCAAAAAAAAAACACCAACAAAGAAGTCAATATATGTCATGTCGACTCAAGACCTTTGGAGAAACATGCTTCAGTCCTAGAATTCTTGACAAGGTTTACCATCTGTATTTCATTTCAGGCCCGGTAGTCTTGACAAAATCCACCATCTTCCCATCAATCCTGGCATTGCGAAAGAATTCTGCTAATTGTTTATCATCTTCATCTCCTCCTTCATACTCAAGCGATACATTGGTTAGCGAATGCCGCCAACAGTTAATAGCCAGAGACTTCCAGCAACCACATTTTTTCTTGCCTTTTAATGGCTTCTCATATGTAAACTGAAAAGCAAAAGAAAAAGTTTATAAATGCCAACAATAGCCTCTAACAATAGGCTCAGTACAGCTACAGCTCATCAAACTGAGCACAAGCCGAGCTTCAATGAACCAATCTAGATGTGACACAAGATCTAACATACACATGTTAAGCCCACACACAATGCCATAAACAATCTAACAATACCATCATAAAACAGTACAGATAACAATCTAACATAGAAAGTACAAACAAGATGCTTAACACCCCTCTTGCAAAAACTAACTCAACAATTAATTAAAAAAATAAAAAATCAAGTGCACCCGCAATCACATATTCACTCTATAACCTTGAGATATCCTCAAATATCAATATATTGAATTACCACAACGTGAAAATTTAAATACAATGTTTTTTTTATTGAAGGCCTCTTTGCTTTCCCTCAAAAAAAAAAAAAAAAAAAAAAAAATTACTACTTTTTTTTATTCTGTCTTGATTGTAGCCCAGTTCTTCCAAATCCATCACGTTGAGAAAATCACACAGCCCCAGCTATCAAAATGAGACATAAACCAATTATTTTAGATCATAACAGGTATAGCACCTAGCTAGATACTTAAGCGTTCCCCATATCGACACCCCTTTAGCTGAACGAAAACAAAAGAATTTATGATAGTATTTCCAATCCTCCACTACCAACAACAATAAAGCCTTAGTCTCAAAATAATTAGGCTCGGCTAACATGAATTGTCATAAAGAATCGTTCGACAAAGAATAAAGCACATAACAAGATAACCAGTTGAAAAGTTAGAAAAAAGGTGTGTAAAGTGAGAAAAAGACATAGTATCCAATTAAAATTTAAGATAGTTTTAGAAGAGTACCAAGAATAAAATATAAAAAAGTTTTAGAAGAGTGGTCAAAATGTGTGAATAAAAACATTATGATTTAAGAAAACTTTAGCAAAGGAAATCAATAAAGTTTATAAAACACGAATAAAGTTTATAACAAAAGTAAATGCTAAGATAAAATAAACAAAAGTATTTCCTATCCACCAAGGATATAAAATTGGAAAATATTCCAAAAGTGAAGTTACCCTACCAATAAGAATCAATTTAGACTAGATTACTTGTGGCACTTCAGAGTGAAAATAGCACATAGCCAATATCATTCCACACCCAAGGGTAATACATCCATCGATATCTCTCGCAAGTTGCAATGTATCCTCCAACTTAGAAGATAATTTATAGCAAATATTGATGATACATTAATGTATTGTGAACAGATTCTGAAGTGGCATGAGAGTTTAATTATCTAAGTATTTGTACAACATACAACCTTCCTAGTTCCTATTCTATGTTAAATTGTAATTTAGTGACAATTGTGTACAAATCAATCTTGATTACCCACGGACTTGCCTGTTTGACTAGATTTTATCAGATGATTCAATTGCATTTATAAGTATAAAAAAAAGATGCATTATAAAGTTTTGCACTTGCACATGCAAGTCCAGGAATCATTGCTTGACAAAAACCTTCTTGCAGCTCGCTGACCCACAATGCACATTCGAAGAGGGTGCAATTCGCAAGAAGATAGATACTTAACATGTCAGCACTGACAAATCATTAACAGTTGTCTACAAGGACAAAATTTAAGCTTAATATAAGCACAGAGGACTGTCTGCCATTAAAAGAATAAAAAACAGTGAGGTCCAAGATATTACTTACCCATCACATAATATTTGAAATTAAGAGGTTTGATATAAACTTCTATGTATCTATGATTAATTATTTGTTTATCATGTGGAGAGGTAACACCAAAATTATTGGCCTATTTCCCTTCGAAAACATGTCCTTTACAGGTAATCATTAAAATCAAGACTAGCCCTTCAAATTGAAAATTGTTCTATAAACAATGGCATCTTTTGAAAAGAGTACTGAATCCAAAGGCTCCATGACCAGGATGGAGTTCAACCCAAGCCATACTTACTAATTAACTTGTGCAATAAATTCACAAACACTAATAAAGCCATAAAAATTAATGCAGACTTCAAGGAACTTAGAGCTACAGCGAGACATATGCGTCCATTGCCCCCCCCCCTCTTCTTTCTTCCCGATCATTGATCATTGTTTCCCTTTGCCCGAGAACTCAATGACCATATGGATTGCAACAATACGTACAGAGCCTCGAAATTGTATGTCAAATTCGATTTAAGCATTAATAAGAATATCTGCCTTTTGAGAATAAAATTAAATTGGAGCTTCAACTTTCAGGTTTCAAATGAGAGTCAGATAAGAGTGCACACAAGTGGAGCAAATTAATACTGCAGTAGTGATTTAAGTGTATGGAGGAGTTAGACAGTTAGTAGAGTGATCAATGATCTAAATAAAGTGGCATAGGTGTCTATTGGATATTTGGAATTTCATAGTATTGCTTATCCTGGATAATCACTCTGCTCTGTTCATTTTTGGTCAATTTGAGAAATTACTCCTACAAGCGTTACCCTAAACCCATATTTTATTTACATACAGCAACAACAATGTCAGAGAATGGGTCAGCTGTATGAAAACTACATAAATTAATATATTGGTGCCAATAAGTGGGTTAATAAGAATGAAAGATAGAAAGCCAAACTACTAGTAGACAGAAACAAGTGGACAAAAAGAAACAAAGAAAAGAGAAAATTACAGATTACAGGACAAAAAGAAACAAAGAAAAGAGAAAATTACAGATTACAGGACAAAAATAAAAGAGACCACATATTTTCATTGTTGATGTATGTTGAGTATAGTATCCAAATATATACTTACCTTATATAATAACAATTTCATTATCGAAATTGCATACACGTAGAGTCTCTGAGCAGGGAGCAAGCCACAGGAGACACTTGACTAAATCAACAAGAGTATGTTTCAGTCTAGTGAAATCATAATCTGCACGGGTGCAGATTACAATTGTCAACATACAATACAACTATACTAGAAGATACTTATTGACGATTAATTAAAAGAGCGTGACTAAATGTTAACAACAACAACAACAACCAAAAAAAAAAATAAAAAAAAAAACAACCCACATAGCTAGTAGTTGGACTTAGCAAAGATATTATCCAACATCATTACCCAGCTCATATATAATGTTACCCTATAGTTTTAGTAGATAGCCAGGCTTAGCTATAATTACCTCACAATTAAGACATAATTAAAACTCAGCCTCATGCAAGGACACGTGAAGAATAGCTATTGGAAGATTAAAACAGCATGTGACCACATATAATAGTTATCTTCAAATGCAATTGAACGAGTGAAGTGACAATTTACTTAAAATTATTCCCTATTTTTTTGCTATAAATCAGTTTTTTCCATAATCCTTTAGCCTTTCTTTTACCTTTTGTTATCTCTGCAATTACTTTTCTCTCCAAACCATGCATTATTACACTAAGCCAACAATACATACTATCTAGTACAAAGTTATAGAATACCATGAATCGCTGACAGCTGAATCTCAACCATCAAATGCTTGACACCATACAGTGGAGGGCGGGATTTCAGTCTCACATGTTCTGGGATTACAGCATCCTTCATCAGCACGAACAAAAGCACACCCCCATGAATAAAATAAAATAAATAAATAATAAGAATCATGGATATGTAGAAGAATTATGTAGTAGGAAACAAATCACCTAAAGCAGATGATTTATGTCCCCGGTAAAGGATTATGAGAGAACTAATTACAGGAATCCTTGGGTTACCTGAATAGTTGCAAGATGGAGTGAGAAATCTTCAGTGTGACTAAACTATGCAATTAATTTAATGAGTCCAAGATACCACTTTTCAGTCTGGAAGCCAGCTCTTAGGCCAACGACAGCATATTTCAACTTCAGAGCTGGACCCTTGGACACCAAAGATATGGCATCTTCTCCCCAGTAAGTGAACGACTTTAGATTAGGAGTATGAATTTTAACTTTTTCCAAGTCCCTACAATTGTCAAAATCCAGGTGGGCAAGGCGTTCACTTGAAATCTCAACATATTCCAAACAATGACACTTGGTTAAACACAATTGTTCAAGGGCAGGAAGATTTTCTAAATAGGAACTCAAGTCATGATCATCCAAATTAACACAATTCAGGTGCAAACTCTTCAGATTTTTACAGCCTGATACGTCTATTTCACAAAATTGCTCACCGAGACAACCATCATACCAATAACTGAACTTCAAAAGGCTTGGTAAACTTATTTCAATCACTTCCAAATCAACTTCTTGGAGTACAACATCCACCATCTGTAGTTTGGGAGTAAGATTAGAGATTTCAAGTCTTGTCAACCCACGGCAATTTCTTAAGTAGAAACTTTCTAGATTAATGCAAATTCCAAGAATAATCTCCATAACCTCCTCATCCAAAAAAACATCATCAAACCGTAAATCCTGTAAAGAAGGCAACTGTGTACACATAAAAGAGGATAAATTCAGCTCACAATTACTCAATTCCAATTTTGCAATTGAATTAGCACCAAGTACACACCCAGGCAAAATATATCTAATACCTTCCGATTTGGCTATTTTCAATTCCAGATATTTGACACTGCATCCAACAGCACAATCAAGCCAATGATCCACACGAGACCTCAACTCCGATCCAAAACCGGGCACATAAAGCTTAAGCTCCTCCAACTCCGTAACCAACCCAAAAGCTCGATCAAGAAAGTTGTAATAGTTCTTCCTCATACTAATAATTGTCTCCCCCTTGGTCCTAAAGGCAATATCCCTATGATAACGAGACAGTCTTTCCACGGTCAGCGAGCTATCAAGATACATTTCACTGAAATCCAACGTACGTAGTCCAGCCCAAACCATCCGCCAACTGCTGGACAAAATGCTTGTTTGGACAGCATACTTGGTAAAAATGAGAGTATATGGTGTTTAAGGGGTTCTGGTAACTCGGTGATTCGATCATAACTCATTCCTAAATCAATCGTCTTCTCCATTTTTAACCTAATAACATACTCGTATAAATTAAGAATTTTTCAATTGATATATTCAAGTATAATCAAGTAACTTATAATTTGTGTCTGAAATACTATCATACTAATGCATTTCAATTGATATATACTAATGCATTTCAAATATGAATAATTGTACAAGAATGACAAACAATTGTAGAGTGACTGAAATTAATTACAATATGAATGGAAAATTGAAAGAAAATTAACATGATTTTAGGGAATTACCTGAGGAATTGGGGAAGATGAATGCAAAACCCTTATTAGTAAATTTTCCAGTATATTTGCTTCGGCGGGAAATTTATTTGAAATTCGGGAACTTTAGGGTTTTTACTCTTGTAGAGTAATCAAGTGAATGAACCTCGTACCGCCATGGAAGACCCAAATCCTCGAGCTTTAAGCCTCTGTTTTCATGGAGTTTGTTGAGAAATGGTGGTTTGCGCTAAAGGTGTGATTGTGTGAAGTAAATGGGGTGACCAGTAGTTATGGTTAATCATATGGTACTACGAGGTGTCAAGAACTGGCCTGTCTGACCCAATTCGAAACCGATCCGATAAAACCAAATTCAAATTCGACTTATAGGACACAATAAATTAACATGAGTGGAATTTAAAATAGAATCAACTCGACCTTATCAATCCCGACCCCCCGAATCGAAACATTAGTCCTTGGGTATCCTACGAGTAGTTAGGAGTATGAGGATTCTTAGAAGCTAGGATTGAAAGTTCAATTTTAAATTTGGATTTGGCTCAAGTCCAATCCAATCCAAATTTATATTTCTACTAAATCTTATTTGATCCCAATGGGAAAATCCAAAATCAAAAAATTGTTCTTTTTTTTTTTCTTTGGATATTGGCCCAAGGGCTTTTAATTATGTCAAAAAAGGGCTTTTATTAAAAAAAAAAATTATACTACGTAAATAAAAAGTAATGCCAAGCAGAGCTGACTTACCCAAAGCAGCCAAGCTTGAGCTCAGCTTATATCTACAAAGAAATTCAACAAATCGTTAAACTGATACTCATTAGATGCATATCACATCGCCATGAAGCAGCCAAAACTGAAATAAAAAACCGATGGAGCGGGAGGAAGACTGAGAATGCCTACACTACAGTTGTTTTCAACAATTTACATAATCAGCCTTTGGAGTTCAGACAGAACAGTGTTACATCCAAGTATCCAACAGAAGAAATACAGAATCCATTTACAGAAGCAACACCAAAAGACTTGATAGTTCTGACTTCTAAGACGACAGCCAGTTACACTGAAATTACGTGGCTTCAAGAAAATAGCCTTTAGAGTTTCCCGCAATCATATCTGGTGTGACTTGATGGATCCCGGAACATAACAGCTATGATTAAAATGCACAGGAATCTCACCAGAACAGAGGAATCTTCTACTAGCAATAAACCTCTAAGGTAGGCTAGGATTGACAAAAGAACAACTCGTCGTCTCCTTTCCTTCAAATATTCATCCAGAGCTTCTATAGCTTTCTGTACTGACAAAGGCATTCTACTCCCGTTCAGATCAGCATCGCCTATCTTCTTTGATAAACATCTAGCTAGTACAATTGCATCTTCTAAAGCTGCAGACCCTCCCTGCCCAAGGAAAGGACCCATAACATGCCAAGCATCCCCAGCTACTGTCACAGTTTCTCTACGGAAGTTACCAGAAAGTAAATTCCATGGGGCTCGATACCTCAATCGTGTGAGTGACAAAGAGTTTAAGTCACTCTTCTCTATCATGTCCACAATATCCTTCGAGAAACCAGCTGTTATGTCTATGGTCATCAGTCTGATGGATACAGAGTCTTTCGGCATCTCAGCATCTACACAAAAAAGATTACTGATTTTTATTTTTTACAATCTTATATATAAGAGAATGATGTGATTTCAAGGAGAAAGAAAGGAGAGAATCAATGAGATAGGTTGTAAACTTCATGATGTGGTTTCTATTCCATGCTGAACAAATGAGCATACCAACAATACATAACACTTCACAGAATCATGTACAATCTAAGCAAAATTCTCAATAATTAGTCCAAAAAATGGGACTAAATCTAAGAAAATAAGCATTGAAATTCATACTTAATGCATAACAAAATAGTTTCGATATTACATTATTACCTCCTTGAGTCCATTGTAGAACGACAAACCAGTAAACTGTCTTTTCATCAATTGGAATTCTTCCAACTAAATACTTATCTTTTCTTACTCTCAAGAATTCAGGAGCAAATCCATGGCCATTTGGATAAAAAGTAAGGCCCCTGACTGCGCATGAGGTGAAAGGCCGAGTAGGTTTTAACCCAATGTAATCTGCAATGACTGAGTTTGCTCCATCACAACCAATCAACACCTGAAAGTCCATTTTGTAAACATGCAGTTGATTGGGTGCAAACATATAGTTAAAAGAAAGAGTATTTGACATTACTCCACATACATGCTTTAAATAAGTGGAGGTGAGGGGGCAAATGAGCCAAAATCGATCTGGAATCAACAATCCAAAGCAAGACAACAAAACTCACTATCTTCGTTGAATCCTAAGAAATGTAACTTAAAACCCTTCATTCCAATTGAGTATCCTTATCGACTACACACCCCAACATGTGTGCATGTGACAATTGAATTTTGACCCAATTAGTTATAAAACCTTCAGAAGGAACCTAGCAACTGTTAACACAATGCACTAGCATAAGCCATGGAGCCTGATAATCTACAGTTCTCTTTTAAGGCATTAGGATACACCAAACCTTACCCTAGGGATAACAAAGTGGATGTTCCAATTATACCTTTGATCTGAAATGCAATGACTATCCATATTGTATAAGCAATAAAAAAGTTACTAGGCTCTAAAGATTGGCTAATTATGTACTCCGTAGTCCATATCAGTTTTTCAGCTTGCTGAACTAAAACTTGTTGAGTTCTTAAGGATCATGAGCCAATATAAAGTCAATACAACCTGTGAAAAAGCTACAACGGCCAATAAAAGGCATATATGACTGATATAAAAATAATGCTGCATCAACCGTAACCTTTTATGCAATATCAAAATCGAATACATTTCTGCAATGTACCTATGCGATATTTTCTGCAACGATGACCGCCACTGCAGTATATATATATATTACTATTATAAAGCCTTTAATACACTTGGAGAAGTACAGCAGTATTGAAATACCTTAGCTTTAATCAAGCTCCCATCATGGAGTTGAAGCATAGCATATGAAGTAGATCTCTCCACATTCATAGATACAACTTGGCAGCCAAAACGTATTGTCTCCATTGGTAGTGCATTGGCTAGGGCTTCGATGAGATCATTTCTCTTCAAGCAACGAGCCTTCCCTTCACTGTAATAAAACATTAAAACCCATACTTAGGATTGTTTTTGTTTTCTAGAGTAAGTTTAAGCATCCATGAACTTTTCCAAGATCTAATATAAGCTACATGATCCAATTTGAAGGACATAATATTCAACATTTTCAATAGCACTTCAATTTAAAAAGTTCTTCCAGTTATCTATTCCAAACCATGGCATATGTAGGTTAGTGTCACACTATTTGGGCCATCAGGCGAAGATAAGATGTCAGCTTTCAAGGATTTCTTAACATTTGACACTAATTTGACCCATATATTATAATGGGTCTTGAAATTTTTTATATACTTTACAATCTAACCTTTTTGATTAGTTAGGATAGTCGTGTAACTCGTGTTAGTAAGAAACAATGAATTTTGTTAGGCTATAGTAAAAAATATTAGATTTACAAGTTCTCTAATGGATGCAGATCATGGAAATGCAACTATAGCGAAAAGCAGGGGAAAAATATTAATTAAGTGTATAGTGTTGTATTGATGTGTCAATGGCCACAAAAGAAAACACCAAAATGGTTTAGGAGTGCAGTCAGTGCACGGCTCATTTGATCTAGAATCAAGATACTCACAAGAAAAGAAAAAAAAAAACCTAGGTTTGGAAGTTGCCAAAATTTTAAGATTACCTCAAAATAGTTTCTCGTTCCACACCCTTGTCAACCCAAACATCAAGTGCCCTGTAAGCACTTAAGAATGTTAGACAGAACCAAAAGCACTGAGCATAAAATTAAGAAATTATTACATGTGTCCTAATTTTTTAGAGTGCAGTTTTTCGGTACATCAATCGTATCATCACCTTTGAAATGTAATAGCAGTTGATCGAAGACTGGAGTCAAGTCCAAGCTGATTTAAGGCACGCCAGCCATTTGGGAAAACACCGATAGCAGCTCCTGTCACTCGCAGTGTATCGGACCTCTCTAACACCACACTCTTTATACCTTTCCTGCATATATAGCAGACATTATGTTTCAGTGACAATTTTTCTTTATACCATATAATCTTTCAGCCATCCTTAACACTCTCATTAAATTATGAAAACTACTTGTTGCTTTACTTCACTAGTGAGCTACTAACTAAAAGCTAGAAAATGACTGTCACTGAATCACAGCATTCATCCAAGCAGAATACAAGTTAAATTTGATCCTATACAACAACATGAATCGTCAAGAATCACCAAATTTCATTACTAACCAGTTAAATACATAACAAGAAACTCCTAGTTGATCCCTAGATTCCAATCACATAAATTTTTTATTCTAAAACTACCTCTTATCAATTAGGTAAATCCCATAATACCTCCAACCATACTGCCCAAATACAAAAAATATTGCCTAGAATCGAAAACCTGGTCCCTAAGAGTGTTTTATCATTGCTCATCGATTTCCTAATTTTTCAAAAAGATGGGGAATCTACCATTAAATTGCAAGAAAACAATAAATTGGACCTGTGAAGAGCAAGAGCAGTAGCTAAGCCACAAATTCCTCCACCAACAATCACTCTCTCTATCTCTTCCACCGCCGCCATCACCACTCAACCTCTCTTTCTCACTCTTTCTCTTTACAACAGCATATGATATCTGGGTAAATCACGAGCAAAACTATGCTACCATAACATAAATATTAACATAACATTATAACCTATAGTTTATAGCAACTTGCATTTCTATATCCAACATTAAAATCCCCAGAAACTTAGATAAGTTTGAAACGTCACCCCTGATCTAATCAACATTCTGTATAAATCACTTTACAGATATCCATTATTAACAAACCCATTAAAAATTTAAGATGACATATAAAGATTAGATTTTTATATATGTAATTCTAAAAGAACCCTTTTTTTAATTGGATTAATTTGTATCAGAATAATACACAAGCTACTATGCAAGCAAGATTGCAAGAAACCCCATTAAAATAAGCATACAGAGATAAAGTGATTAACCGTAGAATTTAAGTGGGATGGTAAAAATGAGTTTCAATCGAGAAAAAGGCAAATGATACCTTTGATGATGAGGAGAAGCAGTAATCCACTAATCCATTAAAATAATTCTTTCCTCTTCCACGGCAGGAGGGCTTTCTGATCAATAATAGTGACATAGTCCCACACTCCCACATAGAATATGTACAGTATAAGTATTCATGCATAGCATCTATTTATTTTTAAATAAATAGGATGGTTAAGTTGTAAAATTAATAAGAGTATAAAGTACCATTAAATATTATAGTGGTATAAATATTAGTTTAATGATACATATAAATATGTAAATTGTACATCAAATATTATACCATTGTGAGATATAATAGTACTATTATAACAACCTATAATCTAATGGTTTAATATACATGCATAATAATACACAAAAACTATCATTGTAACTATAATAAAAAATATATTTATAAATGTCAAATGCCTACTTTACTCTCTTATTTGCAAAGAAAAAATATAGGCGATATGCGCTTACTTGGACTCCAAATCACAGGCAAAAACTGTTATTTAATTACTAGTTTCCGATTTGTTGTAATTTTAAAATTGTAACCAAGCTTCAAGCTAAGCTTAATCTAATAAAAAGAAGTGCATCTTCAAGAATTTAAATATTAGGTTGGAGTCTTAAACGTTTAATCTCTGACAATTTGGGAATGGGATTTCTTTATCTTCCCCTACTTTCAATTTGTCTAATACATTAACTTATAAGAGGTTTTGGCTCAGTAAGGCCCCTTCATCTTACCTATTGTACAAAAACAATTACTCAACTAGTTTTCGGTTAGTTGTAACAAGTTGGTTTTCTTTAATTGACCGTAAATTTGGATGAAGCGTAAAATCATAATCAAAAGTAGGATTTTGACTTTTACCACCAAAAAAAACAAAAAATTGTTTTTTACCACCAAAACTTCCAAAACTTTTATTTTACCACAAAAATGATATTCTAAAAATTGTTTTTTACCACCTACCATCAAGAAAATCGTTAAATCTAACGGTGTTAAAAAAAAAATTATTCGACTTTCGTGCGCAACATGTTCTTTATAGGTTTAGGCAGGCATTTTGGTTCTATGGGTCCAATTTGAGGTCAAAATGACAAAAAATGATCGAAAATGCCTCGTTTTGCGTGTTTCACACAAATCGAGGTATTTTTTAGTAGGAAAAACGAGCCATTTACGAACATTCTTTTTTCAATTCTGACCTCAAATTGGACTCGTAAGGCCCAAATGTCCCCCAAAACCCCTAAAGAGCATGTTTTTGGCACGTAAATCGAAGAATTTAAAAAAATTCCGTTAGATTTACCAAATTTTTTGACGGCATGTGGTAAAAAACAATTTTTTTTTTATTTGGTAGTAAAATAAAAGTTTTAGAAGTTTTTGTGGTAAAAAACAATTTTTTTTTTTTTTTTTTTGTGGTAAAAGTCAAAAAACCCTCAAAAGTATGTAAAGGCAAAAAATGTAAATAGAGATCCTTGCCTTTTAAAAAATTTGGGACAACTCTTGTGAATAGTATTTGGACAATTATAGCCTTTAAAATATTTATTTACTTATTTGCCCTCATTAACATTAATTATCACTTTGTTTTTACCTTTTAAACAGTTTGACACAACTCTTGTAAATATTGTTTGGACAATTATATCTTCTAAAATGTTTGTTTGTCCTCATTAATCTTAATCGTCACTTTTTTTGAACTATTAAGAATATTGTGCAAACGTTTTTACCTTTTTTTTTTTTTTTTTTTTTTAGAAAAAGAGGGGCAAGCCCCAAAGAAGAACTACAATGCAGCAAACCACACAACCAACAAAGGAAAAACAACTAAGAAAAAAAGAAACAAAGCAAAGTAAAAAGACAAAATTAAACCAAGCTCCACGCCTCATTATTAGTCCATAGCAATAAACACTAGCCAAGACTGAGCCACTCCACTCGTATCCTCCAATAAAACGGCCCAAAAATTCCCAGGGACCGCTTCAAAAATCACCATCTTTTGCTCAGCATTGACCCATATTTAGCTAACCAATCAACCGCTCGGTTGGCCTCTCTATAGCAGTGACTAACTGTCACTTTCCAATCCTAACGCGAGATGAGAGCCTTGCACTTCTTAATGATATGAATAAATGGAGAGTTCGATGGAGTTTCCTCCACCAACATACGGACAACAATTTCTGAGTCCACCGAAAGCTGCACCTTACATTGACCCCCATTCCAAGCAACTGCCAAACCCCTAAGAACTCCTATTTATACCCCTATTTGTTTACATATTTTCTTTCATTAATATTACCAACAACTAAAGTTGTGACATAAGACTAAATTGAAAGAACTTTCCGGACATTATTAGATATGTCACGCGCATTAGCTACCTTATTATTATCAAAAATTAAAATATGTCGACTAAAAAAGAATTGAGGTACAATTTTAAAGGCTTTGTTTCGGCCTATTAATATCACAAAAGGCCTAATGTGGCCATTCATAAACAAAATTCTACATTGAGGCCCATATTATTGAGTTCGTTTGCTGGGAGTTCTTTACTATGTGTCACGTGTTGGCTTTGAGGCCCAAGACTTCATTTGTCCTCACAAAAATAAAGTAGAATGGTAGATAGTAGTCTAGTAGATACAAGTATTTATCTAAATTACATTAGTTTATCCCTGAAATAGTGAAATTAAGAATTAAGAAAAGAAAATTTAACTGTTTCTAACATGAGAAGAAAAGTTAATTACTCTTTAAATTGAAAAAAAAAAAAAAAAACATAAGGAGTTTTCAATTAATATGAATGTGATAAATTGACAAAATTAAATGCGTTATGCCTTTGTTAGATGAACAAACCATGGGTAAATTAAAATTTTTAGATGGTCACCCATGCATTCTAAGATTACTTCTATTCAAACATGCTCAATTGTAGAGTATCTTAGCACTAGATGCATCTTTTTGGGACGAGTAGAACATCAATTTTTTTTTAAAGCATGTTTTAAGGAGGTTTAATTTGATTTAATACTCATACTAACAAATGATTAGAAGGGATGCAAAGTCATGGGTCAAGGCATGAGTTAGGCGGTTTCAAGCACTAGGCAAGCCTATTGAGGTCTTTTGGGAACCCCAGAAGCACCTCGATGTACAACCTTTTCAAACCCAAAATTGATGTTTGGAGGCTAAATTAGAAGCCTATACACAATGATAAGCCATTTTCAAAGATTTTAAGATCTAGCATTAAAAATTCAAGTGATGGTTGAGGATGCATCCTGGGATCATAAAACGTTACTTGTTTATAACCATATGTGACAACTAGTCATTCACATAAAGGTCAATGGTGGGTATTAGCCAATGACGAAAGACGAGTATGTAAATAGCTAAATTGATAAATAAAAGACAAATAAAGTGAAAAACGACTCAATCGATCTCTTAGGGCATCATGGGATCCTTGGAAAGCCCCTCAACCCATTTCTTTTCGGGGTCTAAAAAAGTTAAAAAGTCCTCCAAAAGCGAAAGGTTATACTGCATGAAATCAAATCACCTTTGGAAAGTTCGATATCTATCGTTCATAACTCAAGTAGATGTTGAGGGATGCATCCCTAAATATTACAAAAAGATATTATATTTAATTTTTCAGTGGAAAAAATAATTAAAATGCATCTTTATTTTTTCTAGGGAGATCATATATATGCTAATATTGGTCCTTTAATTTCGATATTGTTTTCAATTCGGTGTTTTGGCTAGGATTTCCTCACCTGAATCTAAGTCGATGGTTAAGTTATTCAAATTGGCGGTTCATGTTTCGTTCAAGTCAATGGGTGTTGGTTAAAGTTGGTCTCAATGAACTTTTACTTTAGCCTAGCTTTTTAGCTATTTATTTTCATATTGTATATCTTTTCATTTTCCTTGTATTTTCTTTTTCTCATCTATCAGTCTAACTTGTGATATGGGGACTTTAAATTCTATTAGTCTTATCCTTAGAAAGGTAACCTTAAGAGCTGTGTACCTTAAGTTATCAAAAAAATTAAAAAAAAAAATAAATTATTATGGAGAACTTTTAACTAATTTTACTATTCACCATTTCTTTGTTTCAGAAAATTCATCCTAGTTTTTGTGTATTTCTTTTATGATCATATTTGTGTCTCCAAATAATCTCTTATTCCTACACAAAATGTAAAAGAAAGGACCAGCTATCATTGTTCCCCAATATATTGAAATCAATGTTTTTTTAAAGGTGTATCATGGAATTGAAAGCATACTTACCATCAATCACAAAGATTAAAATCTAATAATTTGAAAGATCATATATCTATGGGTAAAAAGAATTGGATTCAATTGATATAGTTTATCAAGCCAAAAAAAAAAAGAAAAGAAAAGAAAATCATCCATTCAAATACAAATTTGGTTTAAGAGAAAACTATTTTTTTTTTTAACAAGTCAATATTCAATAAACATTCATAACATAGTTAAAATCTTATGCAATCAATGATATCATTGGTACGTGTATCAAATGTTTATGTAATTATCAAGAAACCAAATTAAAAAACAAAAAATAAAGATTTGACCTTAAATTATTAAAATATATATGATACTAGACATAAAATTATGAATCATATGATACATATTTAATTTATTTGACTATATCAACTTGAAGGAGTGGGAGTTTGAAGATGACAAACGATTATCTTTGTGACCAATGTAAAATTAAAGGGGTTTTTTTTTTTTTTTTGTTTGTTTTGATCTACTACTAGTTTATTTAGCTACTTTTTTTTTTAGCTACTGTTACTTGTTAGAAATGTTGAACGACGATTGTCGCAACCACAATATAGTTGTTTGACGTGCTCCCGTAACCTTCTCC